CTAGAGAACCGCTACCTCGACCATGGAACGCTACAAAGCTTAAACAATATTACAGCTAGGTCCCTGATAAACATCGGGGCATAGTAGTCGACGTGCCCTCTCCGACAAACGACAGGGAGCGCTCGACCATAGAGGCATGTTGAGGTACGAACATAGCCTCCAACCAAATAACGAAAGGCGGGTTTATTTCTCACTGGTCGAGTAGAACCTTAGCCCGACATGGACACCTCGATCAAGTTCCACTGACGAAGTACCCAACAGGCAGAACACCCAGCTTGCGATGGGCAATTCACGCCATAAAATCGAGACCCCGACCACGATCTTGAACTCATCTCTACGGACTCCTACTCTGCTTCCTCGACACATCCCGACATGTGTCAACCAAAACTAAAGTCGATCACAAATCTTCACTCGTGGGAATTTCACATTTCACAATATAAACAACTCAAACACAACGACGAGCAAATTGCTAACATACAATAAAAGGAAAAATAAAGGCATTTACAATGGCCGACATCATCCAAAGGATTAAAAAAGTACGGGCACACAGGCCCAAATAAAAGAAAATCAGGCGAAGCCCTTGTCAAAATTTTACAAAATAAAATATATGGGCGCACAGGCCACCAATCCAAGTTAAAATAAAAACGGGAACGCAGGCCCGAAAACTTAATCTCAGCTCTAATCCTCGTCGTCACTCTCCTCTTTAGGACTGTCATCGGTGCGATAAAAATCTTCCTGTCAACCACCTGGTTAAACGGTCCCGCACCTTCGACCACCAGCTCGACCCCTTTGTTAAGGATCTTGAGCTGCTCCACGACCGCGTTGAAGCCATAACTAGGAGTATCCATGACGTCTTGTTTGAGAACCCGGCTCTGAGCGATCAACTTTTTCCTAGTCACAAGGGCTTTCTCCGTGTTAGCCTCTTCATCAGCAGGCGCCACAATCCCCTCCAACTCCTTTACTCGGGCAGCCAGTCGTACCTTCTCCTTAGTCACAGCCTCCAGTTAAGGCCGTAGCTCATTCAGATCTTTGAGGAGTTGGACATGCACTTCGTACTTTGTCTTATGGTTGAGGATATCACCCTTCAACTTTTCATTTATTCCTTTCAGATTTTGGATCTGGGCATAAGCTTTATCAAGAGCGGCCTGAGAACCTGCAGCCTCATCATTCAGCGTCAAAGCATTTTCAAGAACCCTCATCACAGCGACCACGTCGTCCGACAGGTTATTTCGTCGGGTTTCTTTGTCCTCATATAAGATGGCTTCTCTCTCCTTCTCACGGAGACCTAAAGAATTCTCCCCGCTGAAAATGCATCAGTTGAGATGACAGAGAGGTAACACGAAAACTACCCTGGCACCCTTGTCGCCTTCGACAGGTGCTACATGCTCGGGGTCTTCCACACGTTTCCTTTTCACCAGTTGTTTGGGAGGGGGGGCAGGGTCATTGAAGGGGAGGATGAACCACTCGGACGAGCATAAGTTTTGGCCTGCTCCTAAAGTTGAGCAACCTGATTCTTAGGCCCCAAGTTAGATGCAATCTTGGGCCTCAACTTGAGTAAAAGTTTAGAGAGGGTCTTCATCCGATCTGTAATCAAAAAATAAATTGTCAGTCACAAGACAAACATACAAAAATATAATCACGGGGACATCCCCTACCTAGAAGTCTCAAAGCCTCCTCGTCAGAGGAGCACTCGAGGAGCGCTTTCGTATTAATAAGTCTGTGAACAAAGAGATACCCCCTTGATCATCAAAAAGGAAGTTGTTGTCCATGTTCATACACTTCGCCAATGAGAAGCTCTTAACATAAGCCACCAACTTCTCGTAAGAGAGATGATCATGGGCGTCCAAGTCCTCGGGCTTCACCGTGTAATATTTGGGCTTCTGCTTAAAGTGTTTCTACTGCCACTCAAGAGGAAACCTAGCCGTCAGCCGAACTACTGTCTGACCTCCCTCGATCTCTTCCGAGCAATCATACAAAGAAGCCATGGCCGCATCTATAAAAGGCTTCACAAGGAAATACCTCTCTTTGAAGTGTCGAACAGATTCAAGGTACGGCCGAAAGAGTTTTCTAAACTATTTGAACGACACCCAGGCTTTTCGCCCTCCGACGGTCAGCCATTGTAAGTGAAAGATGTGAAAGAAGAGGGTCAATGTGACATCAATCTAGAGGTATTGGCATACAAGCTCGAATGCACGCATAAATGTGAACATATTCAGATGAAGCTGGGAAGGTGCCAGTTGTAACCATTGGAAGACCCCCACTTGGAAGTCGTTGAATGACAAACACATCCCCGCTTCCTTAAAAGCAAACTCATACAAGGGAAAACGTTTTCCCGGAAATGCCGAGCATATCCTCCGATTCTGGTGACGGATTTGAAGTACCCAATTGACAGGAACACCCTTTGCTCGAACCTCGGGGATATTGAACGCGTCAGAAGCGTCATGTGAAACACGACTTTTTATTCTGAGGCTCGGGCGCGACCCAAGCTAAAGGGTCATCCGCGACCATAGTGTCATCCTCGTGGATGTCTTCCTCGACTTGGTGTGCCATCGTAGCTGAAAAGCTGGGGAAAATTGTGAATTCGACATCATCAAATTCACCCTTCCACCGCAAATCAAGTGAAAGGACGATGAATGCGTCGAGGAATAGACCTCGACCCAAGCCCTCGACAGCCAACACCTGAATGATCAACGCCCCACGCGAGAATATTTGGTCGAACGGGAAAATTGCCCAAATCCTCCCTACTTTTGGGGGGGGGGGGGGGGGGGGGGGCGACCCCGACGCGAGTCAGAATGAAATTATAGACCTATGAATCTTCACCCACATCCATGAACTTTGATGGACATCCATGGAAATTCATTTCAGAACCCATGAATCTTCATCCACATATTCATCCGTTCATGACAAAACTTAAGTGTTTAATCTAAAAAATCTAAGAAAAAGCGTGATAAAAAAGATATCACTTACTTGGAGAAAATTATCTTTGAAGATGTCTACGGTGGCGTTAGAACAGAGCAGATCCATGGGCAAACGAAGGAGAGAGGAGAAGAGAGTTTGAAGTTGAGGAGGCCCAATCTTGGGCCTTTATAAAGGCTCAAAAGCATGCAGCCCAAACTGAGGACCGTTGGACATTTTCCCACGTGTCCACTATGGGAGCATAACCCATGTGTCCATATCGTCATCATCATGCCCTCCGAGAACAACGAATCTAACTTCTCTACTTTCTTGGGGAAGTTAACCAAGGAGGAAGCCACGTGTTGGACTTCATACACCCGTAAATCCTGACAGTCTTCGTTGTTGGGCCTTATCGTGGCCCATCACTGAATACCTTGGCCCAACACTGGAGGCTATAAATACTCTCTCACATGAGAGAGTTAGATATTCATTCATTCACTCATACTCTCATATTTGCTGACACTTACTCTGAACCTTACTTTGACATCATAGTGTCTTGCAGGTACCCCGTCACTTCACATTCAACTGTTGTTCGACTTGAAGCTCGTGGGCCTTGACAATCTCTTTTGATCAGGTACGATCAGAAACACCAACCAATTTACATTGAAACAACAAAAACACATCAAGGGAGGCCGAAGACACTCAAGCAACTATTTGCTCAGGTGCGTGATAAGACTCTCGAGTCATTCCGAGAAAGTACAACATTCTCCACAGACCTACCAAAATACTATTTTCAAGCCAAAAGAGTACTCATGTCTTCCAAATCCTTAACCGTCACTAATTTATTTGAAAATACAATATCATTTCGAGTTTTCCACATCGATCAAACCACATCATGTCAAATCACAAGATAACCTCCCCTAAACCTAAAAAGATTCCCCGAGAGAAAAACATCTGATAAAAATTCAAGATATGTTTGGATAAAACTACGAACCAACCCAACCATTTAAAAATTGTATACTAATGACCGGTTTGATTTGGCGTTTGAAACCACAAACACACACTTAACTGCTCTCCCAAAGTGATTTCAAGAAGCTATAAAGTGTAGCTTCTGACCAACCGTGCATCTTGTTGTCTTTCAACCATATATCTAAACACGGTAAAAATCAAAATTACTACGTCATAAGTCACAAAAAGATGAATAGACAACTCTACGAATGTAAAATACAATGGACAAAAGACACCGTAGCAAACTAAAAAGACCAATCATTTTAATTACTCTCTAATAAGAAATCCGATTATGAAAGAACCATTGTTAAAAGAAAACTAATTTAGAAGAGTCCAACTAGTATGTTTTTATCTTGTTGATGTTTTAAATAAGCATTTCATATAAAAATGATTTGTTAAGATAGTATGTGAAGAAGGCCGCAGATAGGGGTTAGATAGATAGTATAGGCAACAAATAGTGTTAGCAGTACATAAACAGTAGAATGATCAGTAGAAATGCGTATACCAATGAATCAAGATTCATTCATTAATTTCATTGGGAAGGAAAACTCTCAGTTAACTCTTACAGACACACACGTTAACTCTGCAGCCATCAACCCTCTCTCTGTCTCCACCTGCAATTAACACTCTTGCAAACTACTGTATTCATATTCATCATCTCTTGTGAAACTAACAACAAAAACATATACACATTTTGCAAACCATGAATCTGATTCCACCTTTTTCAGAAGACCATACTGTCCAAGAACCCCAAAAATCCCTATTCTTCTGACTCACTACTACTACTGTTTGTTTCCTTTTACTTTTCTTTTCTTTCTAGCAATAAAAATATTATCACTACTCAGCTTCATTTCCGGGAGTACTCTCTCTGGACAATTATATGCAGTTTTCTTTTTAGCAAACAGTAAAGTCTGGGGACTACGCAAAACAGGTATTATTATATCTTTATCTTTATTATATAATAATATAAATTTACCACTTTCTATAGATAGAGAGAAAATAACTTTTTTCTTTTAGGGTTCTAACAATTTTGAAGACAACTTTGTTTTGTAACTATGTTAGGGTTTGGAGGAAACAGTTGCAGTGAGATTTCTTCTATGGATCAACATCATCATCATCATCATCATCATATGATGAACAATATGGAAACTAGTAATAGGAAGTTTCTTTCTTTCCCTCTCAACAATAACAACTCTTCTGGTGTTCAAGATCATCAGTATCATAACTTTACACACCAAAACAACAACAATAACAACAGTACAAGTGTTGTTGTTAGGGATAAAATCATGGCTCATCCTCTCTTTCCTCGTCTCTTGTCTTCTTACCTCAATTGCTTGAAGGTCATCTTCAACTTCAAACCCTCATAGTTAATCTATATATTCAATTTAACCTTTTCTTGTAATATATACAAGTATTGTGTAGTGGAGTTTGATCTAACACAGCTATTTTCTGTGATCTGCTGCTGAAAACACTGATTCATACATATATACAACTTGATATACATGACCATGCACTCATTTATAACTTGAAATTTTAATATTATTTTAATATTATCTTGTTTTGGTTGTTTTTTCAATGGTGTTTGTGTGTGGGATTTTGCAGGTTGGAGCACCACCTGAAGTGGTGGCTAGCTTAGAAGAATCATGTGCAAAATGTGAAATATTGAATGGCTCTTCCGGAAGGACAGGAACTAGTTCTTGTATAGGTGAAGATCCAGGTTTGGATCAGTTCATGGAAGCATACTGTGAGATGCTTATTAAGTATGAGCAAGAACTCACTAAACCTTTCAAAGAAGCCATGCTTTTCCTTTCAAGAATTGAGTCCCAGCTTAAGGCTCTTGCTGTTTCAACTGACTTTGGTGATTACTCTTAAGTTTTAAGATTTTTATGAGTACTATTACCCTTCTAATTATGTTTAACAATATTTGGTATTGAATATTAATAGTAATATTTATGATAAAATACTGGCAACCAGACCTCTAGTGAAAACCCACACATAAACTAAATTGGGAAACTTTAAAACTAGTGTGTTTATTTTATACAATTAATTCAAAATATTTTATGGTTTCAGTTGACTATTTCTAATTTAATTAAAGATTTAGTCAGGTCACCCTTTATATCATATACAAATAGTGTTGATTAGAGTTGTAAAGGGAAGAAAAAAAACTACTAGTAAATTTGTAAGTATTGTGTATAAGATGCATTTAATGTGTTTGAACTAGGTCAAAAGGTTTGTAAATGATAAGTACTTCCTCAACTAGGTCAAAAGATATGCTATTTTTTATTTAAACTCCCTGTGCTATCTTTGATGTCTTTCATAACTGATAACTCCCGATGCTATTCATACTCATAGTTATCAAACTACTCCTCCTTTTTAAGATTTTTGCACACAAATTAAGGAATGTAATGATGTTGTCATAAGACATTATATTTTTATAAAACCAACTCTATTAATGTATTAATGTATTGGAGGTAGTGTAGAGAGTAAAAAGTAAATGGTACAATTGGAAAAATACTAATTATTATTACATTGAAAAGTGAAAATGACTGTTAATTTGCAACAAAATTTATTTGCTAAAATGAGTCATTTTGAAACCGAGGGAGTAATGTTTTAAATTGAGATTGAGATTTTCTTATTACAGGTTATGTATGTGTATATCAATGTCATTTCTTTGTAAGGTTTAAGTACTTCTTTTGAAATCCTTTACTTCATGAAGACTGACTTTTGGAGTATGGTTCACTTTGTTTTTGTTTTATAATTGTCCTTTAATTAGTAACTTTGTAAGGAAAGGACGCTGTGTCTTGTCATGTTTCTTTCTCAATTTGTTCTTTATGCAGTTTGATTCTCAAATCCAGTTTAATTCTCAAATCTAAGGTAGAAGTTTCTTTTTGCACTGTTATCTATATTGTTAGGTTATATTGTTCTTGATCCTTAGGTCAGTTGTTTATCGTAAGGATCTGAGAAATCGAAACCGTCACTACTATAGTTAGTTTTAGAGTGTTATACACCGAAACTACAGTATTGAGGATCTTCATTGTCATTCTTTAGGTATTGATTTCATGAGTCAAATAGAAAAGGTATTGATTATCCAAAAAAAAAAATTACTAATAGTTATATTCAATTTTGTTGTGGTTTTTTGAAAGGTCAAAGTGAACCACCATCAATGAATGAGATTGATGTTCATGAGAACAACTTCGATACTCAAGGTGAAGATCAAGAATTAAAAGTGCAGCTGTTGCGCAAGTATAGTGGATATCTCGGCAGTCTCAAGAAAGAGTTTTTGAAGAAGAAAAAGAACGGAAAGTTACCAAAGGAAGCTCGTCAACAACTACTCGATTGGTGGAACCGGCATTACAAATGGCCTTATCCATCGGTAACAATCTTCTACATTTTAATTTCACAAATATCATATACCATGCATCTGCATGTTACTGAACTCGGAAGTGATCTTGATAATAGTTGAATATTGAAACCTTATTCTTTCTGCATGTAGGAATCTCAAAAACAAGCACTTGCAGAATCGACAGGGCTAGATTTGAAGCAGATCAACAACTGGTTCATTAATCAGAGAAAGCGTCACTGGAAACCTTCCGAGGATATGCAATTTGCTGTGATGGATGCCACAAACTACTACATGGAAAATGTAATGTGCAAACCATTTCCCATGGATGCCATGCCTATGCTTCTTTAGATCTCACCTCATCCAAAACCCTATCTATATATAAGTTATAAATTACCTAGGTTATGAAGGTACAATATATATTATTTATAATGTATGTTATTTACTTTAAAACTGTTGAAAATGGAGGATGAAAAATCCCTGCTATCCTTGAACTACATCTATTAGAGTGAACTTTAATCTAGTTATATATAAGCTATTAATGATCTCACTAGTGTTTGTGTAGTATTTGTATTTTTTTTGGGTCTGTTCTAAAAACCTATGTAGTATTTGTATTTTTTTTGGGTCTGTTCTAAAAAATCTAAAATTTACCATTATTTACTATTTTTAGTAAACATGAATGTTATATTAAAAAAAAAAACCAAGTAAAATTTTTTAAAAATAGTAAAGTTTATTAGATGCTTTCTAAATAAATACTAGTATTCAATTAATTTCCACCATGCCAGTTTTTTTTTTAAAAAAATTATTTAAGTTAATTAAATTAATTGTTTCTAATGGTGAGTTTTTTATATTTATAATCATTCAATTTTTATCCACCATACCAATTTTTTATATTATCAATGAATCTAAATAACTTCTTCGGCTATGGGATTTGTAGAAATACTAGGGTTTTGGCCTTGCATTATATTATATAAGATTAATTGTAAATTTATCTAAAATTGTAGAAGTTGATGGTTTGGTATTTTATATATTTTGACCAATGTAAAATAGACATTTTTCAACCATTTTATGATGTAGTTATTTTTTTCACATGCAACACTCATGTTAAGTAACGTTGATAAATGCATTGCTCGTCATAAATGGTGTTTGTATTCTTTAGGTTATATATCTATCTAATTTTAGCCACAATAAAACAGGTCTAGTTTTAACATGCAGTTTAGGTGTATATTTTGGTGTTTGTGGACCTATAGTTGAATTGAACTCGTGTGTTATTTGGCAACGGTAAAATCTTATGGGCCACATGCTTGTACAAGCAAGGTATACATAAATTAATGTCATCAATGAGGCACTATTCTGATACAGCATTTTTATGTTCTTGAAACAAAAGGTTTGTAATCCTTGTGGATTCTGTTTGATTCGTTGCTCTTGTAGTTAATAAGGTGGTCAAGCGTGTGACTATCACATTCCAGTGTTCCTTTGACTGATTCAACAATAATGTTACTAGAGATCTAGAAACTCACAAATTTGGATATTTATGCATGGTTCATGTTCTTCAAGTAGAATTGGGGTTAGGTTTTGCGAGCAGTATGTGGTGATCAAGTCTAGGAAGTTTAGGAGTTATGAATGTAGTGATCAAAGTCTATGATCTTTGCCAGTTATGAATAGTTTGAGTTTTTACTAACAAGAATTGTTCTATGTATAATAAGAATTTAATATAGTTATTGTTGTTGAAATATTTGATTAGATTTAATATTTAAATATAATCTAAGTTGAATTAGCCAAGCTCAATTAGAGTTGTATATAAGTAGTCATAATCTATATCTTTATTTGTAACAAGTGTATAACATAATCTTTTTTTTTTATTTATTATTCTCTCTTTCTCTCATCTTAAAAGTGCCTCACGCACTAACAAATTGGTATCTAGAGCTTCTGATTATTGTTCTTGATCGAGTTTTCAAAAACTTCAAGTCAGAGATCGGATTTTCAGAGCAAGTGAATCAACCGCTGCGAAGATGGCTAGTGATAAGTGCATTATGAATTCTCTTCCAATGCTTGACAGTAAAAATTGGATCCGATGGAAAAACAGATGCAATTCTTGTTTGACTTCCATGAAATCCTAGAAGTGGTTACTGACGGTGATCCTGCGCTGGTTGCAAATGCAACCGACGAACAGAAAAAAACCACAACAAAGTCAAGAAGAAAGATTGCAAAACTGCTTATTGCATTCAGACGACAGTCGATGCTGCTAAATTAGACAAGATTTCTCATGCTAAAACGGTAAAGGAGGCGTAGAATATTCTGGTGAAGTATTACGAAGGAAGTGAGAAAGTCAAAGTTGTCAAGTTACAAACCTTACATCGATAATATGAGTTGTTGTCGATGAGAGAAGACGGAAAAATTGTAGAATATGTGTCGAATATTCAGAAACTCATCCATCTCATGAAGGATTGTAGTGAAACCATAACTTATAAGATGATAATTTAGAAGGTAATGAGAACGTTTACCTCTCACTTTGATCATGTTATCGTAGCTATTCATGAATTCAACAATCTTGGAACCCTAAAAGTGGAAGATTTGGTTGGTCCATCGGAGGCGCATGAGATGAAGATTGTTGAAAGAAAAGGAGTTCAGGACTCGATACTGACACTACAAGCTCAGTCATGGAAAAGGAATGGTGGTTCCAACAAGTTTAAAGGCAATGTCTACCATACTCAGCGAAAGAAGTCTTGGTCGAACCCTCACAAACATCAGGTCAAAGACAAAGCTTCTGAATCCTCGAAAAGAGGAGGATGAAACTATCGAAAGGACAAAGAAGATAAAAAATGTGTGCAGTGCTATAATTGTGAAAAGTGGGTTCACATAACCAAAAATTGTTGGTACATAAAAGACAAGGGATCAACAAGCAAGGACGAAGGAGCGAACCTTGCACGCCAAGATTCAAATGATTCTGAAGGTGGTATGGTGGTTACTACTACAGTTGTAGATAACCATGTTGAATCCAAGATCTGGTTCCTTGACTCAAGCTGTGCGAATCACATGATTGGTAGAATGAAGTGGTTGACATATTTCAACAAGCCGAAGAAGAGCAACGTAAAACTTGCTGATAATAATTCGTTGCAAGCAGAAGGTACTGACAACATAGTTTTTAAAATGAGTAATGAAGGAAAAGTTATGATCAAAGATGTAATCTATGTACCTGGAATGAAGTGCAACTTGCTAAGTGTTGGACAATTCATCGAAAAAGTTTTCTTAGTTGTTATAAAATATGGAGCTTTGAAATTGTTCGACACTCAGAATAATTTGGTCTTAAAATCATTGGAGGTTATACATTTGAACTTTCGGTCACTCAATCAGCTGATTACTCAAGATATGGTATCTGGTATCCCAAGTCTTGAGATGCCCGACAAACTCTGTGAAGGTTGTTTAGTCGGAAAGCAATCCAGAAATTATTTCGTTTCGACTATGTCAATGAGATCATCCTGCATACTCGAAGTGTTATATTCATATGTATGTGGTCACTTCGAAGAACATACCATTGGTGGAAACAAATATTTTATTTTGTTTGTAGACGAGTTTAGTCGAAAGTTATGGATCTATGTGATCAAGAGAAAGGACGGAGTATTCGAAATATTTAAGAGATTCAAGATGCTTGTCGAAAACTAGAGTGAGAAGAGGATTAAAGTTCTAGGAACAGATGGGGGTGGCGAATACACATCCAAGATGTTTGAAAATTTCTATGCAGAATATGGTGTCGATCATGAGGTAACTGCTCCTTATACCCCTCAACATAATGGAATTGTAGAAAGAAGAAACAAAACCATATTGGATATAGAGAGATGCATACTAAAGCAGAAGAATTTGCCAAAATCTTTATGGGGGTGAAGTTGTTTCAAATGCAGTTTATATTTTGAATAGGTGCCCTACCAAGATATTGAAGAACAAGGTTCCTGAAGAAGTATGGAGTGGAAAACGACCATTGGTGAGTCATTCAAAGGTGTTTGGCTATATGTGTTACACGCATGTTCCTGATGCGAGAAGAAGGAATCTTGATGATAAGAGTGAACCTATGATTCTGGTAGGACATCATAAAACTGGTGCATACAGGCTATTCAGTCCAATTAAAGAGAAGATTGTGTTGAGTCGAGACATTGTGATTGATGAAAATTTTGTCTGGGATTGGAATTCTATTGATGCAATTAACAAGCCATTGATGAGCTATGGTTTTGACGAAGAAACTGATGAAGTTGAAGTCAAAGAAATTGTTAATATTCCAATCAAAGTCGAAGTAGTTGTAGACATTCCAAAAATAGTCAAAGTCGAAGAGGTTGTGGCTGAAACAAGCCAAAGACCTCAAAGAAATATAGTTCTTCCAACAAGACTTCAAGATTATGAAGTGGTGGGTGATGATGAAGTCACACCAGATGGAGAATTAGTTCATTTTGCTTTACTTGTAGGTGTTGAACCAATCAACCATAATAAAGCTTTGAAGATTAAACAGTGGAATTTATCTACGGTCGAAGAGTTACAGGAAATCGAAAGAAACAATACATGGGAGTTAGTCGAATTGTCAACACATACAAAAGCTATCGAAGTGAAGTGAGTGTTTAAATTGAAACACAATGCTGATGGGTCGATAGCAAGACATAAAACAAGATTAGTAGCTCGAGGGTTTCTTCAATGAGAAGGAATCAACTACTCTGAAGTATTTACTCCAGTAGCAAGATAGGATATTGTTCGACTAGTGGTAGCATTGGCATGAAACCAAGGCTGGTCAACATTTCATTTAAATGTGAAATCAACATTTCTGAATGGTCCTTTAGACGAAGAAGTTTATGTCACACAACCTCCAGGGTTTGTGATTCAGAAGGAAGCGGGTAAAATATATAAGTTGCACAAAGCGCTCTATGTCCTCAAACAGGCACCTAGAGGATGGAACAAGAAGATCGACTCATACTTAGGCGTATTGGGATTTGTCAAATGCAAATTAGAGTACAGTGTATATGTTCAAGTTGTAGCACAGGATATAACAATCATCTGCTTGTATTTTGATGACTTTCTGGTAATTGGAAATAGCTTGGAGAACTTGTCGAAGTTCAAAGAGCTGATGATGAGAGAATTTGAAACGTCGGATCTGGGAAAATTGTCTTATTTCCTAGGCATGGAATTTCAAATGTCAAAGCAAGGTATGATGCTACGTCAAAGGAAGTGTGTCAAAGAGATACTCAAGAGATTCAGAATGGATGATTCGAATCCTGCATCTTCACCTGTCAAACCAAATGGGAAGTTGGAGAAGAATGGAGAGGAAGACAAAGTCGATGTAACTTTATTCAAGCAAATCGTGAGATCTTTGA